AGATGATTGATTTTCCAGGCATGTCCCACGGCACCCAAGGACCCAGGGGTGGCAGGGATCATCCCTCGATCCCTCTGGGCCTCTCTCAACCTGCAGCAACAGGTTTTTGTTCCCCAGGTTGGAAGCCGAATGACCTGTATCACCCGCTCGCCCATCTTTGCCCTTACTTCTTGCAAAATACCCGGGACACCCCTTGCTTCTGCTGCATTGGCATTTACAGGCCCATCCTTCCAACTTGTAAAAGTGCCCAAAAGCTGCTCCGAGCCCCATCGGGGCTGCTTGTTTCAAGGCAGTCCCGTCGGGAAGACCCGCTTGGCCACAGGGAAGGAATGGCTGGAGCCCATCTCGTGCTCCCGGCGTGGAGATTTTTTCCTCCCATGTGTCCCGTTGATCAGGATCAGCTTCTTTGCTGCTGTTTTTGTGCCTCTTGATTTCCACACGGAAACTGGCTCTATTTTTACCCGGCTAAAGCTGATTAGATTTGCAGTAATTGGCAGGATAAACAGACACATACTGTATGCAGCAGGTTAATGCGATACATTCGGTGACCAGTAAATGCACTTAGCCCAGGCCCAGCACAGAGAAGACAATCAAGGTAATTTATTGTACACATGCCTGCAACATGCCCATTAACCAGCTCCATCCTTCCTGCCCCGGCAAGGCCATTTCCCTGGTGAGTCTCACTGCAAAATGCAAAACATTCCCTCATTCTCTCCCAGCGCTTTGCAGAGTGGCATTAAACCCAAGGACACGCAGGAATTGCTCTTTCTGGTAACTCAGGTCTTGACTTGTGTTGACCTGTGAGAGATTATTAGCACTGAAGCAGCCCCGAGTAAAAAAGAGAGATGCTACTTACAACTCATGGGCTGACCTCCTTCAAGTAATGTAATTTCCAGCCATTTCAATCACTTTCATAAGCCTCAGTCTACCAGAAGATTAGCAATAGTCCTGCTTGCCGCAATATTATTCTGCTCTTTAATTGATTTTGGGGGATAATTTAGCTAGAGACCAAGTAGATAGGAGAAAACTTGGGGACAACATGAGGTGATGCTATACTTCTGGAATTCAATTAACTGGGGGAGGAAACGAGAGGGAAGCGAAAATGAAAATCATTGGTATTTCCAAAGCTGCCTGTTTCCATCTGATGTCCTTAGAGCCTGGGAATACTCAGGGAATACAAAGGGATTGCAGGGACCCTCCGGAGCCTGGGAGGTGCTTGCTGTATGAGCCATCCTTGGATATGTTGGGATGGGAACTGCCTGGCTCAAGCTCCTTGCACACTGTATAGGAGTAATATTCCTGATTGCCGCTGCGAATCCAGGGTCAGGACTCTGCTGGAAAGGCAGGGGAATATCCGCACGGTGCGGATGCAGCCTCTCTATGCACAGCTGGGTTTTGAGACCTCTCGGCCATGCAATTTTAATCTATTTAATGTAGGCTCTGGTGGTTCTGGGCTGTTTCTGCATCAGCCCCTTGCTTGGGACCCAGCCAAGGGCTCTGCAGACGGCTAAGGAGACCGTGTCAATAGGATCATCTTTTCCCAGCAAACTTGTCACCTCCTCGCTGAAAGACACGTAGTGCAAAAACATCCATCTTCCTCAAAGTCGTGCCTGGCATTTGTTACACCCCCCTCTTTTAATTCTTGATTTATCAAGTTGGGTATTAGCGGTTCCAGCGATTGCCAAAGCTCCATGTCAGGGACAAAAGCCGATAATCAGGGTCACCTTGTTCACCCCTCGCCGCGTGGGCACGGCGCTGGCTCCCTCCCAGCCCTCCAGTACTTCCAGGGGCTGTTCCAAGACCTACTGAAAACCACCATTAACTATCCAGACAGCTCCTTGGCCTCCTCCTTTACAACTCTTACGAGTTATTCAGATCTGCTGGTTTAAAAATATCAAGCTCCATCAGCTTGCTCCTAATGCGCTTCCTATTTACTCTCGGAGAGTATTTCATTAGCACGTTGCCTTTTTTTTTTTTCCAACCAGATACAAGGCAGAAGCTTGCACCAAAAACTGCTGCCTTTTCTGGGTTCTTGATTAACCTCCCATTTCTGCATGATACTGGCCCGCTGCTAATGCGAGCTTCCTTTTCCTGAATATCTTGGAAATTTTCCTTCTGCTTTCTCTTCCCCAGCTTCCGAAGCCTATTAATTGCGACCAATTTCCCTTTTCTTCCTTTTATTTTGTGTGTTTATGTTTTATGTGTTAGTCTCAGTGGCTCTTTTGCTTCCCATCCAAGCCATTCTTTTTAAATTTATTATTTTTTAGTGAAGATTTCTGTCTGTTCTACTGCTTTGGAGGGAAAATATTCTTAAAGATTTCTCTCTTTTCAAATATATTTTTCATTTAACTTATTTCCCCAAATTGATCTGACCTGTAATTATTTTATGCTTTGTGGAATAAGACCTTTCAAGGTGCTCTCTGTATTGCTGCTTTGAGCTTTATTTCATTTGCACCTTAACAAATAGCATCAAACCGTGATCCTTTATACCCAGCTGGGTGAGAAACTCATCTTCACCCGGCAAGGTGAGGTCTAATGTGGGATTCCCTCATGTTGGAGGCAATAAGGCAATAGCTTTTGCATTGAGGAGTAAGGAATTATTATTATTATTTTCCAGAAATCCGAAGGATGTTTTAATACCAGCAGTTTGAGACCTCTTGCTTGCATTGTCCAGGCTGAAGTCTGGGGTGATCATGGAAGTTTTTATTGGATATTAGGGACGTGGCTGCTGCAGGAAGCAGGTTGTGTTGAGGCCCCGCTGCAGCCGGCGCTCCGCTGCAGACACTTCCCGTCTCGTGCTTCATTTCCTGGGATATTGATCCCAAATCTCTCCGGATCATTTATTCTCGTGGCTCAGAGCTGGCTTTCGACCTTGACCTGCTTTCAATGCTGCCTTTCCTTGGCCCTCCTGACCTGCTCGCTTCCTAGGTAAAAACACCTGGAGATGGAAAACCATTGCAAGCAAACCTCATGTTTTCATCCCAAATCCCACATTACTCCTGGCTGGATGCTGCAGAGGTGAACTGGCACCCGGAGGTGACAAGAGCATCACGAGGAGGGAAAAGCCCACTGGAATTTGGGAATGGTGTGAAGTGTAAGCTCAAATTTCCCCACGCTCAGCCTTGTGCACATGAGCAGGGCCATGGAAATACTAACTGACCTGGAAAGGACTCCCCAGGGCAGCAGCAATCAGGGCCATGAGTTTTCAGTGAAGCGAAATCCCGATTTTGGGGAGCTGGTTGGATACAGCAGCATCCCAATGGGTGCATTGGCACCAGCAGCTGGTCCCTATAAACAATTGGCCTCTAGAGCTGGCCATTAATCAACATGCCAATTAGCGTTTAAAGCTACCAGAAACATATAAAACTTTCAAGGAAATAATGGGAGGGGTCTGGATTTTTTTTTCTTTGCCAAATTTTTCATCTGTATTCAAGAAAGTGCATTTTTTTTTTTTTGAAATCTTTGAGGTTTCCACCCAAAGTGTCTCTCCTTCGTGCATAAAATGGCATTTTGCAGTTGCCAGAAAATGAAATACCTGAATTGTTGGATTTGGGGGGAAAAAAATGAAAAATGATGTGCTTGGTGTTGCAGTCATGAAGAACTCAGGGTAATTAATTTCTCTGGCTCTGGCTGCATCTCTTCCTCTCGGTCCTTGCAAAGAGGAAGGCATTGCTTGAGGACCAGTGCAGTGAGACCTATTGATAAATGGACCAGAAAACACAATTAAAAGAGAAAAACCTAATGGGAAACCACAATGTGAAACTTCCCAGTATGTGGCCAAGTTGGTGACAGGTCCTGAGTTTTGCAGGCCCTGCCTGACACTAAAAAACCCTGGGTTTTGACCATGAGATCTTAAAGCTCAGTGGTTCCTTGGGGTCTTTGCCAAGACCTTTGGAAAGGGGGCTCAGAGCAGGGTCACTGGTCCCACCTTGGCTCTAAACTAACGCCTGGCGATGACTGTGGTGATGGCAGGAGGGAATTGGGATGCAGGGCACCTGGCCTAACAACCGCACGGATATTTTCCAGAAGAATCTTGTTCTCAGACATTTCACAGGCTTTTGTTTTCCAGCAGAGCTCCCCCTGTAATCCCTGTGCATTAATACACGTGTGTGCATAGATATAGATATAGATGTGTGCATGCACACAGATGCTGCAGATATCTGCATGCTGGAAAATACGCTTGTGTGTTGCAGGCCCAGCACCCTGCTTGCTTCAGAGCCACCAACGGGCCTGGCTCTGCCGGGGGGAGGATTTCAGCTCTTCCACCACCATGGAAAAAATTCCATGGGCAGCCCCGGCGCTGTCCCTCCGTCCTGCCGGACGGCAGCGCTCGGAAATAGCGGGAGAGGTGGGGAAAAAGCAAGGAGCCGCGGAGGGAGCAGCCGGCGGGGAAGGGGGCCCGGGAAGCTGTGG